GTGAACACGGTTCTGGCTGCTACGGGGTTCCCCGTATGCCTACAATTAGGAGCAGTGGTAGGTAGGTAGTGTGAGGTGAAATTGAGAGAAGAATATAGCTTTAAAAAAAAAAAAAAAAAAAGAACTGGTTGCAGTTCACCCAAGAACTGATTGAAATGAAGACCTGAATCCCGGCGGAATCAGATGAGTAAACCTCAAGGTTGTACGTCAAGGCCGTCGCTCCTCTAAAAGAAAGAAAAAGAACGGCTGCCTTGCTGCGGTTTGAAAGCAGTGGTTTCAAATCCGGTCCACTGCCAGACAGGAGGAGATCCGCTGGGGCCATTCCAGAGCTCGCCCAACCTTCACACACACTTGGTGGCGCTACACGCCATGGTCACAGTAGAAGCTGCGGCTGCTCACTTCGCGAGCCGTCGAGGGAGGCCATCTGCGTGGTCACACAAGCGCAGAGGCTCGACGCGGCCCATCCAGGAGCTAAGAGTGGACTGGCCGTTTTGACGAGATGACTGGTTCGGCGGGCTTTCGTGCGGGCTGATTGGACTTGAGCGGGCGTGAATCGAATCCTGGCGACCACGTTGTGTCGCTACAGTGTGTGCGACGGGTTTGTGCCGTTGCAGAGACTGTGCTAAGTTGTCTGTGCGACTGATTTGTGGCTTAGCTCGTGCGGCGGTGGCGGCTCGCGTCTCACAGGCTCCGCGGCATCTGCCGCGGGTTGTTCAATTCCTCTCTCTTGACAAGACAAGCGGCGAAGTCGGGAAAGAACGGAACGGCGCGAGGAGGCGGGCTTGGACGGACGTCCAAGCAGCAGGTGGTTAGCAGCCGAATGGTGAGCGCATTGCGTTTGAAGGGAAAGTCGGGAGAGGGGAGGAGGCGGTAAGAAGCAGCTGGGGTTGGGTAGGCTGGTGAACCCAAGGCATGGCATGGGCGGACAACGGCGGAGGTGTTGACGGGGGAATGGGAGAGGCTGCCTCCACCACCGCCTCCACCGCCTCCACCGCCATCGCCACGGCTCCTGTGAAAGTGAAGCGGCGCCAATTCACTTCAGTCGCCTCTTCGGTGAGGGACGAGGCGCGAACGCATCAGCATCAGCATCATCAGCATCAGCAGTGGCCGTCTCACCAGCCGCCGCATCCCCAGCAGCAGCAGCGTCACTATCAATCGCAACTTGGAGGGCGATCTTTCGGTGCGGTGGGGGCCGGCGCTTGCGCATCGCCGTCCGCGGTGGCGACGAACGGCTGTTCGCCCCACCAGACGAGGGGCGCCGGCGGCGTGCTCTCGAGCGCGGGTATGGCGGCTGGTCCTTCTCCTCCTAGTGGCAGCACCAGCAACGAAGGGTGTGAGGAAGCCTTAGCGTATGCCGTCTTGTTACGCTCTCGAAATAAGATCCCGGAGGCTTTGATGATATATGAGAGCATTTTGAGCGAAGACAACAGGAACGTCGACGCTCTCGTTGGCAAAGGCATTTGCCTCCAGTTGCAAGGGCTAGCTAGGCAGGCTTTCGAGAGCTACGCAGCGGCGCTCATCATCGACCCTAAGAATGCGTGCGCGTTGACTCAGTGTGGCATCCTCTACAAGGAAGAAGGGCGCTTGGTCCAGGCAGCCGAGGTAGGTTTTCACGTCTCATCTCATCTCCTCTGCCATTCCCACTCCACCATCGCCTTCACATCCTTTTCGCCTCTCTCCTCCCATTCTTCTCCTCCTTCCTGCGCTTCCTCCCTCCCTCCTCGTCCTCCTACCCCACTCCCCTCCGCCGTCCTCACTGTTCAGCATTCCTCCTCCGCAGTTTCTCCACTTTTCATCGCTACTGTCTTCTGTCTTCGTGCCCGTCGGTGCGCGCCTTTGCCGTCTTGTCCGCCCAATAAACGTACCTGAGGTCTCGTTCGACGGCGTGATTGCGCCTGTGCCACGCTGTTCCGTCCAAGCCCGGGTTCGTCCGCATCCCCACTGCCATACCTTCGTTCGATACGCTCTTTATCTTCGCCGTCGTTTCGCTATCCCATCGCTCTTGCTCGCTTCCCTCGCTCGCTCGGTTCTTTCATCTGTACGCCAACAGTAAACAGTGTACCAGTGCGTTTTTGTTTTCGATTTTCTGAACTCTGGTACCGCCTATACGGCGTATTATAAAACTTTGCCTTTTCTACGCATCCGTTTGTTGACTGAACGCTGAGGGTAAACAAGGGAGTCGGGGAGCAGGTAGTAGTAAGCTGTACGACGCCGCGAAGGGTGACTAAGTACGTGTCCTTGGAGCAGGTAGAATAGAATCGATCTGGACGTGTTGATTGATTAATACACGCGCGAAGGGGGCTGGCCGGGGCAGACGATGGTGTGAGGCGGCTCGGGGAGGGTATCAGCGCCTAGGTACTCAATTCCAATGCACGCGATCTACTGGTGTAACTCATGATGATGGTGGGGCCTAGTTGCTGCTGCTGATGCGACTCGAATGATGAGGGTCCAGCAGAAGTGGAGACTGTTAAGGGAGACGATTAAGAGGAAGGATTGTGCGGTGGGAAGGGAGAGGGCGAGGGAAGGAGGACATGCACTGCAGACCCTGTAGTTGGATGGTGATGGTGATGACGATAATGACGGAGATGGTGTGGTGGTGGTGAAGGTTGTAATGGGGCGGGATTGTGTGGTGGTTGTCGAGGTAGCTCTGGTGATGATGCGGGCGATGCGGATAATGAGGGTCAGCGGAAGTCGAGGTAGACGGAAGAAGAAGTGGGAGGAAGGATTGTGCCGATGGGAAGGAAGAGGGCGAAGGGAAGGAGAAGGACAAGAATTGCTGACCTAGCTCGTCGATGATGGGGATGATGACAATGATGGTGATCATGACGATGGTTGTGGTAATGGGGGCGAGATTGTGTGGCGATGGTGCTGTTGACGGTGGTTATGGCAGCGAGAGGTCTTCTTCCTCCTCCTGCCCTTGATCCTCCCCAGCAGCGCTGCTCCAAGCTAGCGCTGCTCCAGCCAGATCTCCAACCAGGGTGTCACCAAACTTGCACACCGATAATGAGGAGCACCTTGCTCCTCCTGGAGATATAGCGGCCTGCTTGCCTCTTGGCGAGTGACTTCCTATGCCACGCTAGTAAGCGGCCTGCTTGCCTCTTGGCGAGTGACTTCCTATGCTACGCTAGTAAGCGGGCCGCATATGAGCAAAATGATGGTGTTAATGATGACGACTGATCGTAGGTAGGGAAAGGAGGAGGAAGATGAGGGTGAGAGTTCAAAGATGATTATAGCTGTGGAAGGAGTGGGAGGGGGAGGGGAGCGTGTTTGCGGTAGGCAAGTCGTAGGAGGGCGAGCACGAACGTTTGGCAAATTCAAAATTATGAAGCGCATACTCACATGGGGCTTTCTAGGATGTAAATGAGCGCAATTATAGCCAGTACTCTGGCCCAAAATGCAGGCAGGTCTGGCCTCAGTGGCCTCTTTGTGAAGCAATGGACAAGCATGAGAATGAGTGGATGGCGAATGGTGCAGGAGGGACTGGTTTATCCTCTTCTTCTGAGGTGTACTTTACAGAAAGGGAGAGAAGAGCGGATCCGCGGCACGGCAGCCATTGACTGCAGCCAGGAATGCTGAAAGTCCTCGAAGTCGTTTCTGATGTGTTTCATACACGACGAGGATCAGGGTTTTTAGTCCTCTTTGTGTTTCTTACACGACGATGATCAGGGTTTTTAGTCTTTTGTGGAGCGCAGGCAAAACTACAATCGTCTGAAGCGCAGGTAAAAACTTGAATTGCCTGAAGCGCAGGTAAAACTAGAATCGCCTGAAGCGGTAGTTAAACTATTCTTCAGATGGTGTAGCTGATGAACAAGAGTCGTACATATGGGGTACACTCCATAAAGCAGATGGTGTAGCTGCCCTAGGGGTGCTATAGTCCATTAACCGTGCTTCGATTGTGCGGCCCTAGGGGTGCTATAGTCCATTAACTGTGCTTCGATTGTGCGGCCCTAGGGGTGCTATAGTCCATTAACCGTGCTTCGATTGTGCTGGGGGCTATAGTCCATAAACCGTGCTTCGATTGTGCTGGGGTTTATAGTCCATTAACCGTGCTTCGATTGTGCTGCCCAAACTCTCTATAGAGAGAGGAAGAGTGTACACACAAGCGAAGCAGTTCTTCTCTGAAGAGACAACTACTAGGGGGTGTGAGAGAAGCCTAGGTAGCCTGAAGTCTCCGAGGATCCCAAGCAACTCAACTGAGTCGCTGGCTAGGCCACGTTAGCGGACGGACTTAGCGCAGTGTGACGAGATGCTGGAGCTGGTCATAAAGTTGTGGTTCTGTATTATTAGGCGGTCGATCGCACCCTGGAAAGCGCCGATGATAGGAAGGATGATGTCCACGGTCCGAACACGTTGGTGGGAGATTGAATGGTGGGTATGTCTTCTTTTTGATGGCCGTCGAGATCTCTTCCATATGACATCATTGTAATCTTCTTGATCTAACTCGACAGAGGGGGCTTAAAGTGGGCAATCATCGTGTGAAGTGGGTGATCGACCGACCGTGCAGTTTTGTATGGGCGATCGTTAGCATGTTGATCCATCTCTTCAAAGAGCATCGTGTTAAGTGGGGAATCATCATTCATCTGCTTGGTAGATTGTCGGTCGTTGATTAAGTTTGTTGTTTGGCGAGATCCTTGGGGTTGTCGGCCGATCCGATCGCTAACGCTACCCGCTGGCATGAGGCTTGGATTGCGAACGCATTGCGCGGGCTTGGCGCGCATTGACTGCGTCGGTCGTTGGTTAAGTTGGTCGTTAGGCGATCCTTAGGGTTGTAGGACGATCCGGTCGCTAACGCTACCCGCTGGCATGAGGCTCGGATTACGAACGCATTGCGTGGGCTTGGCGCGCATTGACTGCGAAAGGTTGAGAAACTGTTGGTAGTCTTGCTTGCGAGGCATCATGATCTGATTGGAAAAAGCAGTGCGAGCGAGTGCTCGATTGAAGCGGTGTGGAGTGTTTCGGTTTTCGGTTGCGAGGACTCGTTGCACTCGTTTGCACTGCTTTTTCCAAACAGATGATGATGATGATCTGTTTGGAAAAAAGCAGTGCGAGCGAGTGCTCGATCGAAAAATTGCAAGGGCACGGGAAGGGAGATGAAGGAGAGGGTTCGTAAGGTGGCCGATCGTTGCTTTTGTCCAGGGTGTGGAGTGTTTCGGTTTTCGGTTTCGGTGTAGAGGACTCGTTGCGGCACTCGGCAGTTGTTGTGAGAAAAAAGAAAAGAAGGCCGAGTTCTCTCTTTTGTTGTCTTTTTTATATATCCTTACGTAAACTGATCAGAACACATACTTCACTTGATCTTAGTCAAAAGGCCGAGAAAGGTACAACAGATTTGGACCATTTCTCGATTGATGCGTGTCATCCTTCCACAGAGGTCATGCTAATTTTCTCTGTTTTTCCACATTAAAGCGGATGTCCCGAAGGACGAGTGTATGTCCCGAAGGACGAGTGTATGTCCCGAAGGACGAGTGTATCTTTTCACCTTGTAGCTGAGGGTGGACTTTTGGAGACTTACGCATATTGCTTGAGAAGTGCAGGTATAGGGCCATGGTCCATCCTTTTGAAGTACCAGGTGCGTGGGCGATCGGCACCGCTCCTGGGCGGCTGATTGAAATAAAGACTGCTGTTGGTCGTTGGCTGAGCTGTGGCCTCGATCGTTCGTGCATTGGTCAGTTAGATTGTACGGTTCTGTATCTTGATTGCAAGGTGACCGATCGGTCTTTTTTTTTCTGTTCTCTAGCGCGAGGGCCATGCTAATGTTCTCTGTATCCTTCTGATTCCAACGGATGATTGCTAGGTGACCGCGAGGTGAACGATCGCGTGATGGTACGACATTCCCGACAGAAAGCAGGATGATCCCGACGCTGATGTGGTCTTGACAAGGTAGTCGGGACATTGTTGTGATTTAGTAGGGAGACGGATCGAGTTGTGTGTGTGTGATAAGCAGGAGTGACCTCCTTTCCGCTGATCAATGTGTAAGGGCGTTCTCGGGCAAGGGCTTTATTGGTGTGCGTGCTCGGACCGAAGTAACGCCCAGATTCAGTTCAGGGACTCCGAAGTGGTTGGTCAATCAATAACATTGAGTGCGAGTGCGTCCTACCAAAGTGGCTGGTCAATTAATCAATAACATTTTGTTTTTTGAAAGGATGCAGGGTTTTGATACACTGAGCTTGTGGAGCGGCTGGGGCTTTCACTGGTCTTTTCCAGTGAAGGATATTCGAATGTATGGGACGGTGCAGTAAAGTGGAACTGATGTGAGAGTGCTTCCTGGTGCTCGGCGGTTGATTAGG